CTTGAAATCACATCAGCTGATCCATACCGGTGTGAAACCATTCAGCTGTGATCAGTGTGGAAAGTCTTTTACTCAGATTGGTAACTTGAAATCACATCAGCTGATCCATACCGGTGTGAAACCATTTAGCTGTGATCAGTGTGGAAAGTCTTTTACACAGGTTAGTAGCTTGAAATCACATCAGCGGATCCACACCGGTGTGAAACCATTCAGCTGTGATCAGTGTGGGAAGACCTTTACTCATAGATCCAGCTTAAAAACACATCAGGTCGTCCACACTGAATTTAAAGCTTTCAACTGTGATCAGTGTGAAAAGTCTTTTACTCAAAAAGGTCACTTAGAGAGACATTATATGATCCATGTTGGAGTTAAATCATTTATCTGTGATCAGTGTGGAAAGTCTTTTACTGGGATTGATAGGTTAAAAATGCATCAGCGCATCCACAGTGGAGAGAAACCTTTCAGCCGCGACTAGTGTGGATAATCTTTTACTGGCATTTGTCACTTAAAATCACATCAGCTCATCCACTCTGGTACTAAAAAAATTGTATGTGGTCACTGTGGAAAGGCTTAAACTCAAAAGAAGGGCTTAAAATCACATCGGCTCATCCAGTATGGAGTTAAATCATTTGTATGTGATCAGTGTGGAAAGTCTTTCATCCATAACAAAAGTCTATTGAGGCATCAAAAGACCCACAAAGTGTCCTCCTGTGAGAAAAGGGGCAGACCAATGGGACATTACCCTGACGGGGTTCATTTGAACACAGTGGGAGAAACAGGAGTTTGAACAAAAGTTCTTCTGGATGCTGCGTCAAACTTAAAAAGCTTGAGATCAGGCCTCACAGAATTCAGCTTGTGTTCCATTTTGTTTCATGCATTTAATTGACTGGTGCATCTTTGTTGTCTTATATTTTGGCAAAAGTTTAGCAAGTTAAACTTCACTGGCTGTGTCCACAAACAGCATACAGACTTAACATTATTCCCATCTTCTGATAACAAGAAAAGGCTAAATGTCAGAACAGTTCACCTTCTGGGTCAAACTATCAGATCCGTTACTGTTTATTTGGCCATTCATCGTGAGGTAATTATCAGTGTCACTGCTGTGCCACTTCTGTTGCAGCTTACCAATGTGCAATGTGTTTTCATTGGTCCCTGTTGTCTTACAGGATGTGAGTCTGTTTTGATTCATGAAGAGACAAACCATGTTTTTTTTTATGTTGCACTGAAAATATTATTACTGTAAGTCGTAAATGTCTGTCATTTAACCAGGCAATATGTAAACACATTTACTTTATCCTATGAATAAAATGAATTAAGATGTAACGCATCTTTCTTATTGTCTGAAAAATTGCAGCCTGCGGTCCCAGCTGACTGTAACTTAGGTGTGGTGCCACCTTCTGGCAACACCATGGAGAATGTTTGTGGACCGTTTTGACCTTTTGATTCTTGTGTCTGGTCTTTTTGTGGGTCCCTATTCGCTTTAACAGCATCTCCAAGGATTTCAAACACAGATTCCTGCATCCTCAGGACATGTGGATTTGCTGAGGACACAATTTCTTTGAAGGAAGTACAGGAGATTAAAAGGATTTAATATAAAACACAGTAAAGATAAGGTTTATAGGGTATAATCAACGTAACGTTAAAGGAAAAAAGTAGGCACAATTGAAAAGACAGAAATTATTATAGTATATAGAGACTAGTTGGACAATGTAGAAGAAGCAATTGAAGTGAAAGAGAAGAAGATTGTTGGGTCTGTGTTTCCACAAGCCCCGCTAGTCTAGGGACTTATTCATCATGAGGAAAACAAGACAGTCAGCGATCGATCAATTTGCTTGCAAAGGAGGCCTCATCGGTATCTACCACAAAATGACCCCAAATCCGGCCTCCGCTTGCTGCCTTTTATTGCAAAAGCGCCTCCCACCGTAAACCCGCCAAATGGTTCTAAAACAAGACACTATGTGTCTGTATGTGTAAACATCTGTATGCATGTGCAAGAACGTGTGTGTGTGTGTGTGTGTGTGTGTGTGTGTGTGTGTGTGTGTGTGTGTGTGTGTGTGTGTGTCTGTATCCATGACTTCCTGCTCACCAAAAGGATCATAAAAGCAGGAAGCAACATCACAAGGAACAGATCTTCCAGAGAGAATGCATCTGCAATAAAACCTCCCCCAGCACAGAGGGTGGAGACGTGGTCAGGATCAAAGGACTGGCTTGATCCTATAGATTGAACTAAGACCTAACAAATTTAAGAAACACAATGACAACATTCAACAATTAGACTTAACAAAGATTTACAGTGGAGCAAAAAAGTATTTAGTCAGCCACCGATTGTGCAAGTTCCCCCACTTAAAATGATGACAGAGGTCAGTAATTTGCACCAGAGGTACACTTCAACTGTGAGAGACAGAATGTGAAAAAAAAATCCATGAATCCACATGGTAGGATTTGTAAAGAATTTATTCGTAAATTAGGGTGGAAAATAAGTGATTGGTGGTAATTGGTGGCAACAGTAGCAAGGCTGTTCATGCGGCCTCCCGCAGGTCCAGCAGCAGCAGCAAAACAGTTCAGGCAGCCTGCCACGGGTCCAGCAGCAGTGAAACAGTCTAGGCGGCCTGCTATGAGACCAGTGGCAGCAACGTTGCAGCTCAGGCAGTGACAACATAACAGCTCTGGTGGCTCTCAACAGCTCCTTAGCTGTTGGCCTGGAAAGTGGCCGGTGATTATGGGTCTTGGCTGATGGCTGGTGTTTTGCTGATAGACTTGGAAGCAGCGGTGCAGACTGTGCTGGATGAGGACACGGCCAATCTCAAAGCATACTTTTCTGTCTACAGTTTTGGTGAAAGTTGTCTACTTGCAGGCCCACCTTGATTTTAACAAGATCTCGGAAAAATTCCAATATATTTTTAAATCACTAAATTGCACTGAGACTGCACTTTTAAGGATTTTTAATTATATTCTTTTAACTTTGGAATCCGGCAGCTGTCATGTATTTAATATATATTGCCCCTGTTGCCCTGGCAACAGACTTTAGAAAGGAGAAGTAAAGAAAAGAGGAAGTTCAGTGCAGAGCTGCACTGGAAATCTGACACAAAGAAAGAGGAACTGAGTAAACTGAGGGTGTGTGTGTGACGTAGCCAAACTAGACACATACAGATTCATCTTATGATTTTTTCAGAGGTGTGGGTGCATGATAGCGCCTAACAGCTCCCCATTCCCGGGAATGCAAAATAAAGATCATTTTTTGAGTTAGACCACTTTGAGCCCGCCAAAAGAATGCAAGGAACCTAATTTAATACAGCCCTGCTGCCCTTTTATTGTTGGTCCTGTCAGCAGCTTTTGACACGTTCAACCATGACATCCTGCTAGAATTTCATCCTGGACTAAAAGGATGTGCCCTCCAGTGGTTTCTGCCCTACTTGTCAGGAAGGTCTTTTTACATTAATATTGGCCTGGGGGAGATATAGGAGAGGTGGAGGAAGATCTCAGCCTTGGTGTCTTTTGTCTTGTGTAGTCTGGAAGATGAGTTGATGACAGGTTGGTTGCAGTTTTCTCTGTGGTGGGGTCAGGTGGGCTGTCCCGGACTCTGTGGGGCCGGGCGGCGCTGCT